TTATAGAGATCCAAGGTCCACAGGTGTGGAACATTTACATATGTTTTCAAGCTTTTTCAGTGTTTGATTTTTTGTTTGATTTTGCTTTTCTTCCTATTTTTTTTCTTTTTTTCTTTAAAAAGTAAATCTTTGTTATTATGCCCTAAGGGCTATAAAACTGTGCATACCCTTAACACTACTAGGTCTGTATCCCAAAGAGATCATAAAAAGGGGGAATGGACCCACATGTATGAAAATATTTATAGCAACTCTTTTTTGTGGTAGCAAAGAATTGGAAATTGAGGGGATGCCCATCAGTTGAGGAATGGTTGAACAAGTTGTGGTATGTGAATGTAATGGAATACTATTGTGCTATAAGAAATGTTGGGCAGGCAAATTTCAGAAAAATCTGGAAGACTTACATGAATTGATGCTGAGTGAAGTGAGCAGAACCAGGACAATATTATACATAGTAACAGCAACATTGTGTAGTGTTCAACTATGATAGACTTAGCTCTTCTCAGCAATACAATGATCTAAGTCAGTTCCAGAAGGCTTATGATGGAAAATGCTATAATACATCCAGAGAAGGAACAATGGAACCTGAATGCAGATCGAAGCATGCTATTTTCACTTTTTTGTTGTTTTTTTTCTTTCTTGTGGTTTGCCCTTTTGTTCTGATTCTTCTTTCACAACATGACTAGTATAGACATATAATTAATATCATTGTACACATATAATCTATATCAGATTACTTGCTGTTTTGGGAGAAGAGAAGGGAGGGATAGAGAAAAATTTGGAACTCAAAATCTTGAATGCTAAAAACTATCTTTACATGTAATTAGAAAAAATAAAATGCTAGTAAGTGAAAAAGAGTAAGAAAAATATTTGTTATGTGAGATGGTTCACTTAAAAAGGAGGAAGAGAAATACTGGGAGAAATTTAAGATTCCTAAAAAACCAACAGCAAGGGAAGCTGGGTGGTGCAGTGGATAGAGGGCTCAGCCTGGAGTCAGGAAGACTCCTCTTTCTGAGTTCAAATCCAGCTTCAAACACTTACTGGGTGTGTTACCCTGGGCAAGTCACTCAGTTCCTTGTCTGTAAAATGAGCTGGAGAAGGAAATGGCAAACCACTCCAGTGTCTTTGCCAAGAAAACCCCAAATGGGGTCATGAAGAGTTGGACACAACTGAAAAATGACTTAAATAACCAAAGCAAGAGATAACAATATTTTTTAAAAAGGACTCTAAGATGCTAGTACCTTCCCTTCCCCAGATTACTTTGTACTTATTTCATATATAGGATATCCATATTTATATGTGTAAATGTTTTGTCCCCTATAGATTGGAAGCTCCTTAATAGCAGGAACAGATTTTTTTTAATTCTAGTACAGTAACTGGCACATAGTAGGTGCTTAAATACTTATTGATTGATTAATGGGTCACAGACTCAGTAGGAAGAGAACTACGAGGAAACATTGTTATAGAATCCAAAGGAGGAGGGATGTATATCATAACTGTTGAGCCAAGTGGCCATCTGAAAAATAGTTAATTCAGTAACCTTTTGAGAGACCACTTAAACACCCAATAAATAAAAGAAGGCAGTTGACTCTCAGTGTGCTTTAACACTGACTAGACAAAATTTAAAAGTTTCCTCAGCTTAAGATAAAAGATGAGAGTTCAATTTTTTGTTTCCTAAGTGATGCAGTGGTGATAGCATCATCTTTCCCACCAGAATAAGAACCCACTGGGTAGAAAGAGATAAGATAAAAAAAGAACCATTCAGGACTAAAAAGAGGATTTATCTGTGGTCAAGACTGCTCAAGATGCCAGTAATGACTTCTGTGAGAGTGTAACTACTCAGGCTAGGAAGACAATTAAAAAGATAAAGAAGACAAAGGGACATAAGGTAAGGAAATGCTTTGTATATCTCAGTAAAGAAAAAAAAACAAAGACTTTTTGAGTTTATTGTAAGCAAAATGTGTAAAGAATATCGTAATAGTTCTGGAAGGAAAGGAAAAAAAAGAATTGTAATTAGAAACTAGAAGACAGAGCACCTGTATTTAAAAAGCCAGTTCCCTATCACCACCCACTGTCTCTTAACACTTCTACTTTAATGCTGTCTCCCTTAATCTCAGAATGGCAACGTACTTTATAGACATTATCTTGGTAATCCTCATGTGATAGAGGGCTAGCGAGATAGATCTCTTTCCGAAATCAACAAGCCTTGTGAGGCAGGTTAGGTGACAAGTATCATAATTCTCTCTTACTCCTACAGCCGTTCTTCAGTGGAAGGTCCAAATGCCTTTCTAAATTGTCTTATTATTCCTTTAACCTTGCCTTTAAAGGAAAGTATGCACTAGGCAGTTTCGTGTCCATTTTTTAAAAGGAATAGTTGAGGTGCAGAGGTAATGACTTGCTCATCTTTGATCAACTCCCTCCCTTACACTTAAGATAGTATATCCTTTCTGAACTGAAGGGAGAGTTGAATGATTAAGCATGTATTGGGTACTTACAATGTACAGAGCACCACTCTGATGCTGGGAGTATAAATAAAAAAGTAAGATAGTCTCTGCTCTCAAGAAGCTCACTACCTAATGGGGAAAGAACAAGCAAGTATATTTAGCCCAGACAATAGATATGATCATGGTCTTCAAATATTTGAAGGGTTGGCACTTCAAAGACAATTTGATCCTGACAACAACCCTGTGTGTTGGAGCTATTATCCTCATTTTATAGATGAAGAAGCTGAGGCAAAGAGAAGTTAAATGACTTGCCTTGAGACACGCCACTAGGGAATATCTGAGGCAAGATTCAAATTCAGGTCTTCTTGATGCCAAGATTTTCTTTCTGTCCACTTTGTCACCCAGCTAACTGTTTTTTGTTGTTGTTGAGTTGTTTCAGTCATGCCCAGCTCTCTGTGACCCCATTTGGGGTTTTCTTTGCAAAGATACTGCAGTGGTTTTCCATTTTCTTCTCTAGATTATTTTACAGATGAGCAAACTGAGGCAAACAGGGTTAAGTGACTTGCCCAGGGTCATACACCTAATAAGTGTCTGAGGCCAGATTTGAACTCAGGTCCTCCTGACTCAGGGGCTGATACTCTATCCACTGCACCACCTAGCTAACTATTACTAAATTACTAAATACCAAAACATAAATTATGAATGCTAACTACAAATTGAGAAAGACTATTTTGCTATAAGAATGTACTTTGTCCTCATTTCTAAGGTTATACTTCAGAGAAAGAAAGAAAAAAGTCAAAATAAATGGTAATATTCTATATTACGATAAAGTCCCTTTGTGAGTGTACTGATGTTCTTGCAGGGCATTTCATGTTCTTTTGACTTCATGGTAGCTCTGTGATCCAGATTTTTCCCAAAGGGAATGTGAGGAAAGTATGCTAACTCCTTCAGGAGCCTAATTTATGGTCTGATTTAGTGAACTGCTAGAATGGCCAATTAGATTGCTGAAGCTAATGCTTTATACAAAAATGTCGGTTGTCATTTGGGTAGCAATCTAAAATCATATACTTAATGGTACCCTGGAGGCCTGAAAAATATTAATGCTTTCCATCAGCACCTACCTTGCCACTGGGACATGATTTAGGCACTAGTGGGAATAGAACCCACTATCTTTACCACACTAGTTTATACCAATCAGCTTTAGAAATAGTATGAGGGAAAGAATAATCAATATTGTGTTAAACCAGTCCCAGGGAATGTCAAGACAGAGTGCTTATGCTCAGCAGAACACTGGCCTCTTAAAGACAGCAAAATAGGAATTATTATTATTACAGAGCAAAACAAAATTGTGCCACAAGAGCAGATTTATCATCAAGCGTAACCCTCAAGAAGACTATAGTTCCCTAGGCACTTCAGTAAAACCATATCATTTGCTTTCATGAAATTCATTTTTAAGGTAAATTATAGAGTATCACATGAAAAATTAGAAGTTATTTTAAACTATATATATATACATATATATGTATATATATGTATATATATATATATAAGTTATGAATTGACTCACATAAATCATTTTGGAAAGTTTGTAGGAAAATATATAGCAATAGATCCATCTCCTCTGTAGAAATAGGGAAGGTTTCTTGATATAGGGAAAAACACCTCTGAGTCTAGAGTCAGAGGACCTGGGTTTAATATTCTTATTTGTAAATGGTGATCTTGAACAAGCCTCTTAAACTCTTTAGGCCTGAGTCGTCTAAACTGTAAAAATGAGGGGGTTGGACTGGATGATCTTAAAGATACTTTCCAGCTCTAAGCCTTTGATCCTATGGAGATTGGGCATGGTCTCAAAAGTCTTTTCTAGCCCTAACTCCTCTGATATAAAATTAAATCTCCTCAAAGTATACCCCAAAATGCTAATGTCCACATTTCCATGAGAATTATTATCTCCTGATTGCCAGTGTCAAGATGATACATCACAAAATAATAATGGATGCTTTCCTACATCACCTCGATTTAAACCAGCATCAAAATAAGGTTTTCACATTCATGAACCATACCAGAGACAGCCTGTCATAACAAATAAGGTCAACGAACATGGAATTAGATAAGCTTCATTCAACTCCCATCTCTAACAGTTACTGGTTGTGACCCTAGGCAAATCGTTTAAATACTTATGTGCCTCAGGCACCTCCCCAGAAAGCATCTGGTGGGTACCCAGCAATGGGTCAGTGGAAGGAGTTTCTTAGCAAGAAATGCCAGAAATCACAGATCCTTTTGGTAGTCATGTACCAAGAGCAATTGTGTTTAGTCAAAACAAAATGAAAGGTCTCAATTTAGTCTCATTTCATGATTACCATATAGCCAATATCCAGGAAGTTACTTAATGATTTTGAGAAGGTCAGAACTAATGACTGTTGGGGAAACAAAGAATACCTGTCCTATTACTACAGAGCTGAGCAATTGATGGTTGTCACATCTGAACTCAGCAAATCCAGAAATGAGAACTTCTAAAGACGATGTGCTGGCTACGTGTTGATTTTACAATGGTTCTTCCAGGTCTTTCAGGGATGTGGCCAGCCCAAGCCTGCTCCTGCTCTGAGATCTTCCCGTTCAGCTCCCGAAAACTTTAATACCCGCTTTAGACCGTACAATCCTGAAGAAAGACCGACCACGGCTGCTGGCACAAGTTTGGATAGGCTGGTAAGTGAAAGTGGGCTGATGGACATTTTGAATCTTTGTTATACACCCTCGTGGAAGGTATCATGCGATTTCAAAAAAGTTGGTTGTGAAAGTCACATCGCTCTTATATCTTATCTTGCTTAGTGATTGAGCTTAGCCTTGCTTTTAATAAGAATTTTGAAAAGTAATGAGATCATTCTTTTAGGTTGCAAATTAGATCATTCAAGAAAATGTATGCCCATCAATCCACCCGTTCAGTGACCAAATTTTCTACATCATAGCTCTTCTGAAATATTAATTTGGAGATTAAGCTACCAGTTCTTCAATAGATATAATTAAAATAGCACATTTCTTATTCATTTGCTTCTGTTCTTCTTTTTAAATGGTTATTTATTCAATTATGATACAGTGAAACTTCATTATAACTTTTGCTTCCATTAAATTTTCATATGTAAAAGACCCTGGCATAGTCCCCCTAAACAATGTTTCTAACCAATGTTGCGGGGGATTTTTTCCCATCTCTTCAGAAAGCTATAGTCCTTTGCAAATACATCCTATCTCATGGTGGCATTTAATACATGGGGCCAAGTTTCAACAGGCCTCAATCATAAATGCTGTCTACCCATACAAAGATCACAAAAACACTATTCTTAATTCAATTAAAAATAAATATTAAAAATTTAAATTTAAAATTAAAAGCTTATTATTTCAAGGTAATGCTTCCAAATTATTTCAGATCCTGATTTCTACAGTGTTACAAATAGTATTTATTTAATTTTTACCATTATTAATACTGCTTCACCAATTATCTTGATGGAAAGCTAACGGATGAAAACAAGGTCATAAAGCATTTGAACGACATCGGAATTAATTTAGAAATAGAAATAGAGTACTTCTTACTATGAATATACTTTTATTACACACCTGTTATGAATTACTTTAACATTTTAGTTAATGTCCCTCTATAGGGTGAAAGTAGTGAGACTAAATTGGTTGCATTTGCTCCTGATACAAATAGAGCTCAGTATTTCTTTTTATGAAGGTCTAACAACAACAGAAAGGCTTTGCCACAGCAGTCAAAGGGGATTGGCAAGTCAGGCAATTACTAGTGAATTAATTATCTGGTGGGTTCCATCTTGATTATTGAGCACATAAAATTCAAGTTTTCAGCAGCAGCACATTTTTGTAACTGAATTAACTAGGAATTTGTCTCAGCCCTCCACTTTAGCTATGTTGGTATGCAGTGCTTGTGAGAATAGGTTTGAATTCAGTGTAACCTGTTATTTTTAAAAAACAATCAAGGACCAATTGTTTTCGAAATGACAGAGTCCAGTTGTTTATTCAAACTGGCTTGTGTGGGTATGTCTATACTTTGATTTTGAAAACATAAATAAAGAGCCTGCTATGAGTCTCTTTTTTGTTAGCTCCCCACCTAGTCTATAAAGGCAAATGAAGTTTTTTGAATTTTCATAAAATTAAATTAAAGAAACTGACATATTTATTCAGTTGTATGTAGTTGATGAAAATGAAATAAATTTAAAGAACAAAATTAAAATTGTAAAAACAAGTTAATTCTTCCCATTTGATTAAAAGAAAGCAGAGACATTTTTGTCTCTTATAGAATTAATATATAGGAAAATTTAAGAAACCAACTATTCTCTCTCAAAAAGTAAAATTGACCAGGACAAATTATATTTCCAAAAACAATTCATTTCAATACAACATTATCATCTGTCTATGATATTCAGTGCCCTGTGCTAGGCATTAGTTATGCAAATGGGAAAAAGACATAAAGTCTGTCCTCAGAGAGCTTACAAATCTGGTAACAAATAGTACCTATGCAAGTTAATGGCTATGTAACATCTTACCAGTGATGTTTTTTAGTGTCCATATTACATTGGAAGTACGGTATTTGAAATTTGACTCTTTGCAAATACCAATCCACCAGATTTTTAGCAATAATAATAAAAAACACAAAACTAATAAGATTTTCAAAGTACTAGAAATTACACAGAAAAGGAATTAAATTACCTTTCTTACACACCATGTACATCCAACACGGACTTTTTCATGTACCTCAAAGACTTATTTTTGAACAACTGTCTCTAAATGTACATTTTAAAGTAAACATTAGACCATTATTCTGCTGATGAAAATTTGAATCACTAACCATATTTTATTTTTAATAATTATTAGTGATAATTAATACAATACTCTTTCCTCCCAACAACCAATGACATGAGTAATATATTTTTATCCACGTTCTATAAATGAGGAAACTGAGGCTTAGGGTCTCATAGTTAATAAGTGTGAGAGCTGGGATTTGACTCTTTCCATAATCCCAAAATAAAAGCTCGTTATAATCCTTTAAACACCTTACGCAGTTTAGTTGTAAGACTATTAAAGTAAGAGGTTTTTTTTAAACTATTGATTCCAAGTTTGTTAACTTCATTAAACTATAAGGATTAGCAATTTGTAATTCTCGGCCATTCGTAATACATCTGGAAGGAAGAATCATCAGTTCCCTGAGGCTCTGGGATTAAGAGGCTATTATACCCACATCAAACAGAATGTAAGCAGTCCACTCTTGTGGACAGTAGACCCTGAGCAGACATCAGATAGTGCAACACCTTCCTGCACCCTAATCCTCTTCCCCTTTTGCATGATGGGAAGGTAGAACAAGGGTTCCACTATTCTCTCGGCATTAAGGCATGCTTGGAAGCCAAACAATACCACTTTACTTCCTTGCCCAACCCCAACTCCAGTTGCCCTCTGCCTGTGTCTACTATCTTCATCAGAAAAAGATCCTGGTCTCAAAAGAAGAGAGCTTCCTATGAGGTTCTACCACCTTCACCCCTAACAAAAATTATGTGTATCAAGCAATCAAAGAAAGATTAATTCCATGTTCACATAATCACATCTATCATTTTGACTAAAGCCACATCTAATATGACTCACATGAAAGGATGATGCTACATCAGAACCTATCAGAACCATCCACTCCATCTCACAACCATGCCGCATTCTAAACTGATCAAGACACACATTGGTGAAGTGGAATGATTTGTAAAACAAAGGGGTTGGATAGATGGTCTCAAAGGTCCTGTCCAGATTCATTTTATGGTTTTATAACTACACTGTACTACACAGTTCATTTGACTGTGACATTAATGAAGTTTGTGTTACGCCACTTTGTAGGTACTCCACTCCCTTAAAAGATGTTTTTAACTACTTTCAAGAAGTACATCTCTTTAAAAAGAAGTATAATTTTTTAAATGCTTAACTTCTCTGATTGGCTAAGCAAAAGATTTTTTTTTCTTTTTCATTAGTTTCTTTTCATTAGACAAACATTCTCTCCTACCCACTTACCCTTCTACTAGGGAATAAAACCTTGCAACAAATATCATATTTAAACAAAATAAATTCCTGTGTCGGCCATGTCCAAAGATATATCTGTCATTCTATGTATTTAGCCCATTTCAAAAGATAGTTTCAAAATGAATATTCTAATAGTCAAGCTAGGTTTGCCAAAAATGCAAATGACTATCCCACAAATGTCTTGGAGAGTTGTTTTTAATGATATTTGAAGTAATGACTACGGATTCTAATGTAATAACTGATATGGGGATTTTAATTAATGGAAAGCTACTTTAATCATATAAATTATATCAGCATTATTATTATGTAGACTGATGCTGATGGGTTTTGTTTCCAAAACAGTCCCTCCCTCTACCCAAGATAAGTGAAATTCTAGTGATAACTACTGCAAAAAAAAAAGAAAATAAGACTTGAAAATGCAAAAGATATCATCGATATTATCATTTAGCCTTAATATACCAAATATACCAAAAATGATTTTTTACATTTTCTTAATAGGAACAAACTGATTCCTCTGTTCCAGTTATTTATTTTATAGCCTGGGTTCAGGGATAGAGAATGATTTTTGATTGTTACTAGCCATCAGGAAGACTTCACCAAGGTTATTTTTATTATCTATCCATTTCTGATTACAGTTGTGTAACTTTAGTTATAGATAGAAAATCAACTCATCACAAAATGTCACCACTTACTTCTACCAAATGTCCTGATGCACTGATGGAACTGATACCACCTCCATCTAATCTGGTGAAGGAATAGTTGACTATCAGGTGTCTTTTGCTCAGTAATGCCACTAATCACCACAGCCCTTTTGTCACAGTGGCTCTTTATTGGTACTTAACTGAATAATCAAAAGTTGATTTATACTCAACAAGAAATGAATTTTCCTCATATCTTAAACTTTTAATCCACAAATAGTATCTAATAATGTTGATATAAAAGTTTTTTTTTTCTAAATCTATATGCAGGATGAAATCAGTTAGCATGAAAGAGCAGCTTGATTTTGGTCACTGAGCAAATACAACTTCAGACCTTGCTGGGCTAACCTCTGGAAAAGGCAACTGTAGGTTTCAGAAAATTAGAGGTCAGCATGGTGTATGGGTACTGGAAACAAGCAGTCAAACCAATGCTGTAACTTGGTCCCTGCCAATTTATTGTCATGGCAAAAATATGTTTTAAATAGCAGACATTAGGGATGTGTTTTCTATTAAATCTATTGTAGTTTTAAGTGATTCAGAAAACATTTTTTTTTTAATTTAGAAAATAAAATCCACTAAGCTAGGCATTTAGCTGACTTATAGCTAATCTCAGCCTTTGAGCGATGATCCTTCATAGAATGACTCCAGAATGTTCAAAATGTGCCATATTCCCAAAACATGCTACTTGTTCATTGGGGAAATTTTATGCCAAAATTCCAGTTTGCATAAGTGAACGTACTATTTGTTCTGTGGCAATACATGTAGAATAATCTCTCTTTTTTCCTTAAATCTGTTTTCCTCCTGCTTCCCAGAGGACTATCTGGAAGACAATGCAACATAGTGTAAGCTCTAGTCTTCTTATTCTCCACCTTCATTTTCATTTGTCTGTGCCATCATTCTGAGCAGTTTCTCAGAACTCCATCTCCACTTTTCCTTTCTAATTTG